TTGATTTAAAAATGTATTGAATTAAATCGAATAAGCATAATGAAACAATTGGATGTCAACAACTACAACGGCTGAGCAAAAAAATGCAATTAATCGTGAATACAAAAACTTTATATTTTAAAAACAAAATCACATATTTACCAAAAAAATATCTCTGAATCATTCCGACTGGAACGTTCTTGAACAACAATAATTATAACGATACAAAGAGTGTCATAGTATCGGGACGTGCATCTAAATGCGGCGTAACAGACGGGCAGAGGTTATTGAGCGATCCATAAGTTTCTTTTTATTATAGTTTTTATTGATACACGAATAGTTAAGTCGGTGTGTGTAGGTAACTTTTGTGAGCATTGAGTGGGTGTCCGGTTTGATTTGTTTATCAAAGGAGCCCGGGCATTCGTTCACGGGTATTTAAGATACGTACCTATACAATTTATGTGCGACGTGATCATCGAATTAATCAACATAACGTAACGTTGCGTGGGCAACCTTAAATCATAGTTCTTTACCAATGAAGTTACCGTTTTACAATACTGGCAATTTGAAACGTAATTTCTGTACGACTGGCTACATATACCCAATTCAAACGATTCTATTTAAAAAATAAAGAATTCTAATTTCAAATTCAGTCATTAGTTTATTGATTAGGGACTTTTAAGCTATAGCATAGATTTTATCGCGGGCCTTGAGCGCGGCTACCGAATCATGAAATTCCGTAACGAAAAAAACCTTACACCCCTCACTCCGCCTACTATGTAGCTCGCGTTCAACACATTCACACGTTGCGCTTGTGTAGTGTTTGTGAATAAGCGCATGGCGTGACGTCACATTGCATGCGCATTGTGAAAAGTCTGCCCATCCCTCTCCCGCGCGGTCTAGCTTAAGAGTGTGAAGGGGACAGTTAAGATTTTTATTAATGTTTAATATAGCGTGGTCTTGTTTTATTATTGTTTTAATATTAAATTATCAAAAAAAAAAAAAATTTATCATTGTCTAATTATAATTGCATAAATTGATAAAAATGCTATGTGTACAGTAAGGAACGAAATATGTCTGAAGACTTACCGGTTCACCTTCCTTCCACTGCCTCGCGCTCCCTGGGCTCAGCGTCGTTTCCGGAGGTGGGACCGTCTGTCCCTTGACTGGTACACGATGAACAATTGTCGCTGGTTCTAATGGTTACGCGTGACTTGCGTTGGGTAATTTTTGTTGTTTGTAATAAAGAATGTCTGNCCTTTTGTTTAAACTTTATCTAATTTAACTTTTTTGTATTCATGTCTATGATAATAAAATCCTTTTGTTTAAACTTTATCTAATTTAACTTTATTTAACCAATTTCTAGAAAGTTGCATGTAGATCATTTTTCGAAAAATAAGGCCATAAATAAGTTTCACTTCTTACGTGTGTACACTAGTACACGCACACATTTTTTTTACTAGATTTGACTCTTTTTGATCAATTCGGACAAATATCTCTCATCTCCGTTGCACCTACACGACAACGCTCGATCTCATACGTTTGTTTATCTGGTTTTCGGTGTCAGAAATATACCTCGATTAGAAATTGCAATTACCTGTATAATAATAGCCAATCGTAAAAAACACTTTCTTTAAAACCTAAAATAAATTATATGTATATCGTCACAGCGTCGTAACAAAATTTAAGTAATGTTGTTATATTTATTTTATTTTTTAAGTACTCAGCTACGTAAGTCTAAGTACTATACTCAAATAACATAAATGTGCAGTTTCTCGCCGGATCTTCTCAGTGGGTCGCGTTTCCGATCCGGTGGTAGATTCTGCGAAGCACTGCTCTTGCTAGGGCCGGTGTTAGCAACACTCCGGTTTGAGCCCCGTGAGCTCGTCGTGGCCTAAAGGATAAGACGTCCGGTGCATTCGTATCGAGCGATGCAACGACGTTTGAATCCCGCAGGCTGGTACCAATTTTTCTAATGAAATACGTAACTACTTAACAAATGTTCACAATTTGACTTCCACGGTGAAGGAATAACATCGTGTAATAAAAATCAAACCCGCGAAATTATAATTTACGTAATTACTGGTGGTAGGACCTGTTGTGAGTCCGCACGGGTAGGTACCACCACCCCGCCTATTTCTGCCGTAAAGCAGTAATGCGTTTCGGTTTGGAGGGTGGGGCAGCCGTTGTAACTATACTCAAGACCTTAGAACTTATATCTCAAGGTGGGTTGTCCATTTACGTTGTAGATGTCTATGTGCTCAAGTAACCATTTAACACCTGGTGAGCTCGTCCACCCATCTAAGCAATAAAAAAAAAATAAAAAAAGAGCTCACCTACATGTTAGGGCGAAGACGAAATAGCCTCTCAAGGCTACGAAAAAAAAAGTGTTTTCAAAACGACCATCACTATACTGATGGGCTAAATTTTAGGAAAAAATTCGTCGACACAGCTGCGTAAATAAGCCCGTATACTGACGCCATTTCAAATCGACCGATAAGAATGAAGTATACTCCGTAGTCATAGTAAGACTATTTCGTATATAGGTAGATTGCATAACGAACATTTATTTTACGCAAACAACTTTAAAGTACCCTTAAAGCTGAACATTTTTAAGTGTATTTACAATTTTAGTAGCTGAAATAAATAAGAGAATGGAAAATTAAAAAAAAAAAATTTTTGAATATCAAATCAATGACCCAAATTCGATTTTTGAGCACTCGGTCTTTATTTGTTAAAAGCTTGTACGTTTTTGATTTTAGTCGAAAACGTTGTCATAATTATTATACATTTATTCATTTTCATACAGAATTTGTTGAGGTAGCATAATCATTAATTTATTGTAAATAATTTTTTTTACTGTCTTTTGATTGTTCATGCTTTTATGTATGTATGTATGTATGTAAAACAAACATGTATTTACGATCAAATATGCGTTTCAAAGCTTACATATAAAATTTTCAATCGATTCGAATGAAACAGAGCTATACAAAGTCATCCCAAGCCTCATTGAGGTCATTGAATGTTTTATATCAATTGATCCAGTTCTTACGGAATTTGGCTGGTAGAAACGCGTTGACAAATATTTTTTTCTTTTATTGCCCTTGTAGGTAGACGAGTATACTTACCTACCGGGGTGGTGCGTGATCATGAGTGGCTACCGTCGCCAATGGACTTCAGCAATGTCAGGGACAGAACCAAGCCGCTGCCTACCTAATGACACAAGTCTATGATATGAATAAATGTATAAATAATAGACTACGCTTTATTTTTGCTATTATTATATCATAGACGGCTGGACGAGCTCACCTGGTGTAAATTGGTTTCCGGAGCCTATAGAGACCACAAAGTGAATGCCGTAAATTACAGTAATTACGCTAATTATTTTTTTCAGAGTTTGATTTGATAACATTATGTTATTTCTTCATGGCGAAAATCATTCGTGAACATGTGTTTAACTTATTACATTATAAAAATTGGTACCAGCCGAGGGATTTTCGCATTGCTCGATTCGAATAAACCGGGCATCTTATTCTTTATGTCACAACGACTTCAACGGTATTTGTCATGTTCTAAGTTTTATGAGACTCTGAATTTAATTTAACCAGTTCGCAATATATTTATAATTGAATAAATTCACATTTCAAGTATTTTGAATTCAAAGTGTTATGAATGAAAATAAAATCTATATATATAAAAATGAACTGCTGTTCGTTAGTCTCGCTAAAGCTAAAACTCGAGAACGGCTGGACCGATTTGGCTAATTTTGGTCTTTAATTATTTGTGGATATTTGTGAATTAAGTCCAGAGAAGGTTTAAAAGGTAGATACATATGAAAATACTCGGAATTAAATAGAAATAACAATTTTATTTTTCCTTTGATGTGTCCCCCGTCGGACGGATTCCTTTTGTCCGTTTAGGTGTATTTTATACAAAAGCTTAGGTATTTTATTTATCGATTGAGGCACTACGAAGTCTGCCGGGTCAGCTAGTTATAAATATAATAAAAGTAATAAATACAACGTTCATGTTGCTTTAACACAAAATTCACGTCGTAAACTGGCTTAAGCCTTTTTCGAAATTATGTTCGCTCTCGATACAATTATGTACTATAAATCTTACATAACAACAGCACGATAAACATTCTGAGGAAATATTTACAACGGGTCAATTATTTTGGTGTTCTCTACGAAAATACCGTAGTTATATTGATTGATGTGGCACCGATGTTAAAGCTCTGTTCGGAACATCAAAGGGTTGAACTTACGAGGAGCGTTCGAAGCTTTGTGGCATATTTTTGATGTGAATTTTTAAATTAATCTGTCTCTACATTCCTTGATTTAAATATGAATATTTTTGTGTCTCACATTATGAAATGTGTTTTTAGTTGGTTTTCATAATGATTTAAAATCATTTTAATAATTTTAATTGGTGGTACAAAAAATAAAAATGCTTTTTTATTTCTCTCTATTTTTTTCTTAATCACTGGTAGTGGAGTGCCTGTTTCTAAGTTTTATGTGGAGGGAGTGATTACTGATGGCTTGGAGGCCTTCTCAGTTTCACTAGCCCATGTGGTCGAGCACGAGCTCAGCCAAGAAGAATGGGATTTGCTATCAGCGGCTCAAATGCCTCCACAGGATAGCTTCGCGAATGTATCTACTACCGGATCGGAATCGCGACCCGCTGAGAAAATCCGGCGAGAAATTGAGTAGGGTTAGGGTTAGGTTTACGATTATCAGGGTCCCTATGCCTGCTCATAATGTTGGAGCTGCAAGCGACTAATGACAATGCTAGTGTATTGGATGGACGTTTCAAGTAAAGGCGTATTAACATTAAAATTTTACTTATATCTACCGCATAACCATTAGTGGCCGCTATTTTCTTATTTTCATGCAACAAAAACCTTTGATTTAATTTCTCATATTTGGCAGCTGTATCCATGTTTTGGTTTCTCTAAGCGTCGGTAGCCTTTCTGATTCAGTTATTTAAATAATTTATAAGTTAAATGTATTTGTATACAGCACAGAATAGAGCACCACGCATCAAAGAGCATCCGTCGAATACTGTGTCAGGACGCAGTGAACCGGCAACATTGAGATGTGTCGTGGAAGGCCGACCTAAACCTTATGTACAATGGTTCAAAGACGGATTACCCTTGCCTCAAGCAGAAGACGGACACAGGGTCTTACTCGAAGACGGGCTGTTATTCTTGAGGTAATTCTATCTGATATCAAATAACAGTACAAAGGAGATTTATTTCAGTTGAGGGAGAACTTACAGTCGGAAGAAATTCATTCTTTGACATAGGGGTCGTAGCCTATGTACCCAAGTCTTTGATCAAACACTTCACTAACACATCAGATTCAATGTTAGTCTGCTTAGTATTCATGCGTCTTTTTAGTCTTTTGCCTAAATCAATTTCAGTTACATGTTATAACAGACAAATATAATGGAAAATAAAAACAAAAGAAAATGAAAGATTCACTGTACAAATATTGAATCTGAAATCTGAACAGCGATTTATCATTCTGTCAAGTTCTGGTAACTCTAAGATTTGTTTTTTAGGGTCAACCGAGGGAAGAAAGATAGCGATGAGGGTATTTATTGGTGTGTTGCACGCAACATTGCCGGTGAGGCCGTCAGCCAGAATGCTTCGCTTAATGTGGCTAGTAAGTAATACCGTTTAAAATTCTATTCATAAATCGAATAAGGCTAACAGCTAAATAACCAAAAAGGTACTACCACATTGCTACCTTTCTGAGCACTGTAAGGATCGTTAAGCTCCAAGAAAATACATATATCTTGATATACTTATATCCTGAAAAACCACAGCCCTCTAATGTTACTTCCAAGTGTTGCTATTATTCGGATATAGCCCGGTCTTAGAAAGCTAAGAGCATTTCGCAATTACCATTTCGATATACGCTCTGATGAATCTCATTGCGGAAGAACTGCTTAATTTTTCGGTGAAGCCTTTTGTTTTTGTTGAAACACAGCGTTGCTACGAATTAATAATGGACGCTTGTTATGTCTTTTGAATTATAGTTTCATATACCTAAACTTTGCTGTTAAACACTTTTCACGGAAATGTAAAAATTTGGATTGTTTCCTGTTTATATTCAACAACATTTAACTGGTGCATGATAAATTTAGTTCTTTTCATATAAAATGTATTCGTTGGAAAAAATCACAGAAATAGATCCATAATATGAATTTTCCGCTTTGTTTACGCTAAATTATCGAATCGACGATTGAGACATGGGAGCAGTAAGCATAAACGAAACTTTAAATGGAAATTCTATTTTTAGTGCTAAGAGATGAATTCCGAACGGAGCCTAGGGATGTGCAAGTGGCCGCTGGTGAGCCAGCACTATTAGAGTGTTCTCCTCCAAGAGGGGTTCCAGAACCATCTGTGCAATGGCTTAAAGACGGACAATCCTACGATGTAGAAGTTAACGGAAGGTAATTGTTAACTTATGACTGCTAATCGTTTATTAACCAAATTTCTTGATTTTAAATTGGCCTCTCATTTTCAGAGTCACAATAACAGATACAGGAAACCTTAAAATTTTAGAAACACTACCCACTGATAGTGGTTTATTTCGATGCGTGGCGACAAATATAGCCGGCGAACGACAGTCAAGAGCCGCTGCGTTAATTGTTTTAAGACGACCACATTTCGTTGTTAAACCTAGTAATGTTACTGCTTTAGTGGGTCAAACTGTCGAATTTAACTGTCAGGTAAACACTATTCAGCCAGATTTAATTGTTTATTCTATTTACTGATGTATTTAGATTAACTTAATGTTTATAGAGTTACGACTCAAACGTAAAAATAACTTGGGTCAAGGAAGATGGAACGCTGCCGTCTCATGCAACAATAATTCGTGGACTACTAAAATTAGAGCACGTATCTGCAACTGATGCTGGCGTCTATTCATGTCGTGCAGACAGCCACGCGGGAACCAGTATCACCAGTGCCACACTCACGGTTTATTGTAAGTTCATTTTTAATTAATTGGATCAATTTCTAGTAGCTCTGATATTCTATTTTAACATGGTCATCTGTTTCAGCATTACCGCATTTCACGCAGATACCGTCCAACCTAACAGCTTGGGAAGGCGATGTTGTATCCATTCCATGCGATGCCAAAGGATTACCAACGCCGACGACGTTTTGGATATTAGAAGGCAGACAGGATTCAATGCTTTTTCCGGAATGTACTAGAAGCAATACGAGTTTGTTGTATTTGGACAGTGCGCGGGCGGAGCAAAGTGGAAGGGTAATTTGTACCGCAGTTAACGCAGCTGGAAGTATCATGCAAGAAGCGTATCTTACCGTTCTTAGAAAAGGAAATAGCGAGTTAAGAGACCATACGGATGATGACTTCGAAGATGATTTAGATCGCAATGTTCATATGACCGAGTATGAACTTCTTCAAGCGAGAAAATATCTCCAGCAAAACGTATTAGTGTTGAAGCGAATTGAAATGCTATCATCTTCAAGTGTTAAAGTTGTTTGGGATGTAAGTGTGATACAGTCATGAGACATCTTTGTATTCACTATAAAACTATGATTAGTGTAGCAATTTGAAATAATGAAATGATTATATTATATTATATTTTTTAGGTGCTAACAGACTATAATGAGTATTTAGAAGGGGTTAAAATATGGTACAATGGGACAACGTTAAATTGGCGAAATATCACAGAAGAAGATTTAACTCAACAAAATTCACATTCAAACACTATTCTGTGCTTAAATGGATCTCTCACCAATGTTGACAACAGTGGTTCATCAAGCTATATACTGTCAGGATTGATGACTTACACGCAATATGATATATTTTTGATGCCATTTTATAAGACCCTTCTAGGGAAGCCTTCCAACATGATGAGTGGGTTTACGGATGAGGGTGGTGAGTTGTATTCCTTTGATGTTTTTATTTTCTTTAATTGCCATACGTTGATGTTTTGTAACAATTATTTTAGTACCGTCGGCACCACCCCAAAGCGTCACAGCAGGGGTGATAAACGCAACATCGGCGTGGATACGGTGGGAGCCACCACCTGTGAGGACTTGGAACGGCGAACTTACTGGTTATTTGGTAAGTTTAAAGTAGTTCGGTGCTTAACAACTATTCAGTTGACAAACTTTCGTACCTGTGGAATAAATTAGTGCTTTTGTGTTTCAATATTTGTTTGAAACTGTAATTGTAGGAATGACACCTATGAAACACCGAAGTTGTTCTTTGTTGGGGTGCTGTGCTATGAAAAGTTTATTACCCGGTTGATTGTTTATGGAAATTTGCACGATAATAAACTAGGAAAATAATAATTATTTTGTAAACTTAGTTTTTGTTTAATACAGACAATGGATAATAAAAATAAATTTAGTTGTTGCGGTAGCTTGATTGTGTATTGTTAGTGTTCCTGATATTGGTGGTATTGGACTATCAACTGAACCGTATACTCTTCTGCCTTCGAAGGCACCAAGTGGGCAGTTTTTTTTTTTTGCTATGTGTACAACTTGGGCTATGTTTGTAATACAGATAGAGATACGCGTGAGTGGCAGCACAGGTGGCCGGGTTGTGGGTCAGATGTCACTGAACTCCCGCACCCGCGCCGCAGCCGCGAGCTCCCTCCGCGCGGGTGGCCGCTACACCGCGCGGGCGGCCGCCGTCACGCGTCGCGGACACGGACCATTCAGTGCGCCGGCGCTGATACACATGCTGCCAACTCAGTCGCAGAGGCATTACGTACAGTACGTCTTCATGATATACAGGGTGTACTAGAATCTAATACGATAACGCGCCCACCCGCGGTAGTTACCACCACCCTGCCTATTTCTGTCGTGAAGCAGTAATGCGTTTCGGTTTGAAGGGTGGGGCAGCCGTTGTAACTAAACGGAGACCTTAGAATTTATGTCTCAAGGTGGGTGGCAAATTTACGCTGTAGATGTCTATGGGCTCCAGTAACTACCAACACCAGGTGGGCTGTGAGCTCGTCGACCCATCTGAACAATAAAAAAAAACAATAGAGCACGTTAAAAAATTGCACGCAATGTAATACAATTTTAATTCAGCATGGAAACTGAAATCTCAGTATTGGTCACAAGATGCAACTTCAGCTTTCGCCTTTCGTTGCGGGCTCACGAAACTAAAGCTACACAAAAACAATCGAATTGTTTACTTGACTTAGAATCTTTAAATCGTTTTAGTCTATAAATCTATCACAGGCATCTAGTTTGTTGGAGCATTTGTGCGCGTTTATCTTTACAATGGCTGAGCTTGAAAGTGGTATTTAGTTGGCCATTTATTTTGTGATGCTTATAATATGTCCCAACATTATGTATCTCTTTAAAAATCATTTTGAAATAAAAATAAAATATTAATTTTAGGACTGAACCACCAAAAGATTCCAATATACCGAACATACTACAAGAGACTTGGCTCTTGGCTCTCGGGCTCACCCTTTTCTCTGTCATCATCATCGGAGCCGTCAGCATTTACTACATCAAACGGAGAAACAACATACAAAGAAAAAAGTCCGCCGGTACGTTCCATTAGTGTACAAACACATCGATGAAAACATCTCCTTTATGTCGTCGTAATTGATACATTTGATCCCAATTGTAGGTCAATCGATTGTCACGGCTCAACAATGTCTCCTAAATAAAGACACGGTTTGGCTTCGCGACAGGCCCGTATTCGGACCGCCTAACGACACGAGCATCGACGTCAACAGCTGTCACCAGAGTCTTTTACATAGTGAGTGAAATATCAATGTGCTTATCTCCAGGAATAATCTGTTTTATGTCCGCGCCACGGTTCCCACGATACTTGTGAGCTCGATTGCGCTACATCGCGCTTATCGGAATATGAGTTCATACTAGCGTTTGGTTCGTGGCGATATTGTTTGATACCTATTCTAAATTTGAATTTAAATTTACTTCGTTTTTAAATGCAAACTATGTATGTTTGTTAATGTATTCTTAGTATAAATAAAAATGTCACGTTCGCTTCGTGATGAATGAATAACGTCCTATAGTAAAAAATAACAAAACTGTAAAGTTAAAACTTTGTATTGTGAGATTGAACCATTAGTTCTCATAGTCCCTGCTTGTTTCTGGACAACCTTCTTAAAAGTTTAGAAACTTCGACCATGGTCGATCATCTCAAGGTTAGTTTTCAGCATTTATTTATGGTGCGCTTAGGCTTCGATGACCACTAAACTCAAGATCCAATACTAAATGGTCTATAAGCTTGTTTGTCCTCTTACGCCATCTTATTTTTAATTTAGCAAAAACAAATGTTCAATTAAATTCATAGCCGCGACAAATCGTTGAATTTCAACAGATGGACAAACCACAAGTATTCTGAACGTGGAACCAGAGTATAGCTTACCGCAGAACTCCATTCAAGGACTAGACGCATCAAGCGTCGACCGTATCAGACGCGGACCACCGGAGCCATACGCGTCAAGCGCCATTTACACAGAACTCAATTTCAAGGTACGATTACATTCACAAGAATTCCATTGTTGACATTAGATAAGATTACCGGGATTTGCATAGCGTGCGTCATATAACATTCTCAGTTTGATTTAACCAAATATAACAACAAATATTACCTTTCGTTCAGGACAACAACGAAATCGGAGACCTGAGAGGCTGTCCGGACAGACGATCTCATAACAATAGCATTGTAAGATCGTGTAATGGAAGCATACAATATTCAAATGGCGAATGCTCGACTTGTTGTCACAGTACTTCGAGTAGATCGACCAAAGACTACAGAGAGCTAAGACACGACAATGTACAGAATGAAATTAATGTCTTAGAGGACGACTGCGGTTCTTGCCACACGAACAGATCTGGATCGAGGAGTAGACAGGACAAAAGCAAAGTTTGTCCGGCCGCTGATTTAGATTACGACTATCCCCAATGGCATTGGCTGGGACGGGAGAACAGCTTCAAAATTCCCATCCAAACGAGCAGACATTCGAACATCGCGAGGTCGGAGCAGGGCTGTCAAATAAATCTATGTGATATACTGCCGCCGCCGCCGTATGAGGTAAACGGGAATTGTTTATATTTCGGACCCCGTCTAATCAGTGTTACACAGTTAATAGTAATACCCCTGGCATTGCTGACGTCCATGAGCGACGGTGACCACTTACCATCGGGTAGTCCGTATGCTGGTCTGCCAACAAAGACAATAAAAAAAAAATCGAAAACTAATTGTTCTTATTTTTACAGAGTCCAGAAAACAGGCACAACTATGGATCGGAAAAGAATTAGCAGTGAATTATGTAGTAGTAACAAATACAAGCTAACGTAAAGCAATAATGTTTACCTATCTTTTTGTGAATCTTAAAAATTTAGTAATTAATAATAAAATCAAGTAGAATTTACATTTTTAGTAGAAAGTCGCTGTAGCGATGACGACGTAGTGTAATTGAATTCAGAAATAAAAAACAAATTAGATGTGAGTGATGTTAGTGAAGCATTAGTAACAGACTTTTTTGATAATGTAATATTATTCCTAATCTATATTCTAGTCACGGTGTATAAGACTAGTTTTACAGTCTGTATTTAAGGTATTTGCTATAAATAGTATTTCCTGTACTTTCGTATTCTAGCTACGCGATAACTGAACTTTGTTTAGTTAGACTGGACCGTTTAAAATAGATGAAGCTCTGCCTCTCATTTCACTGCCATAAACTTTTAGTGTTAGATTTGTTAGTTGTAGATATAATCTTCGACTGTGATATTTATGTATTTAAAAAAAAAAATGCGCATCGGGAATAATTTTAAACTTTAATTTAATTATCGTCGATCTCTCTTACCTTACATAAAACAATTTAAAAATACATTTCGTGTAGTCGAAATTTTTATATATCCAACCGCAATATTTTCAGAGCCAGTTGTGTTTGTATCCGATATGAAAAACCGAAATAAAGCAACTTTATAAAAAAAAAAGAAATCGTTTTACTATCGCCCTTTATTCCTTATCAGATCTAGCGGATATAAAAAAAAGAATTTCCATTGTTTTGTACTCATTTTACTACCTACTTAAATCCGAAGCCGCTGTTACAACGAGCGTTCTTTTACATTTCAACGTGTTTATTTATTTTTCGTGTATCGCTGTCTTTATTGTTGTATCAACGATAAAACGAGTTAAATGCTAGCATAAATAATAAACTACTTAGTAATGAAGTGCCTCGTTACCTGTGGCTTACAAGTCTTTGCGGAGTCGTAAACTTGGAAAGCGGTTGTAAGCCAATAAGACTTGTTTACGTGATTTATTTAACAAACAACCTCGTGTTCTAAGCTCATCGTTCACTTTTATCATGACATGTGACGCTAGATTGTTTTATATTAATTGAATTACCATTTAGATTAAGAATATATAATTCCAACAAAATATGCAGAAATTTGAATATCTATATATTAATACGTGAAGCAAAAACTTTGTATCCCTCCTATCCCATACGAAAATTGCGCGGACGGAGGAGTATGAAATTTTACAAATTTATAGAGAATATAGAGAAGAAGTGCACAATGGTAATTTTTTTTTTAAAATAATGCATAAAAGATACATTAAATCAATAAAGAAAACATTACACACCCTACATACCATGTATTTGACGCACACACGCATGCATACTATTTATTGTCAAACTTTTGTTCTTGACGTCTGTTGTCAAATTGAGATTAAATATTGTTTGTCTTTATTAAGATTTTTTATAGTGTAGTCTTGGCGAAATTTGTGATTATAGAAGTATAACATACAATCATAATAGTGTAAAAACTTACAATTCCAATTAATTATAGTCGAATTTCGCCTCCTGCGGGACCTCTAGTTCCCATAAATATGCTTGATAGATATTCGCAAACATCTTTGGTTTTAAAGTACACTGAAGGGACAAAAAGTGGGTTGTTATTTTACTAGACGATTTGGCTTTAAAATTGCAATTTGGTGCAAAAAACTTTCACGTTTCGTTATCCCAAAGTCAACTCTAGGACACAAGTTGTTCCACTCACGGGGATTTCATTGTAACTCGAAGTCAGTCAAATGCTCATAGACGCGCACGCTTCGTAACAGACAATTGACCATGACTACGATTGCGCACTGCTGATGTTATAAATTCAAAATTCAAAATCATTTATTTCAACTTAGATGGCAGTATGACACACTTGTTGAATGTCAAAATACAAATAACAATGTTAACTCTACCACCGGTTCCAAAAAAAGCCACAGTCCTGAGAAAAACCTGCGAAACAAACTCAGCGGGCTTTTTTTTTTGTTTTTTCTCAAATATTTTGTTTTTTTTTTAAATAAATAAAAATATTTACAATAAAAGAAAAAACAAATTACAATTAAAATAATAATAATAATAATGAAAAATGTAAAGGCCAGGAGCGAGCGCCTCATTCCCACGTAGTGCCATCTAGTAAATAATCCTTAACTTTATAATATATATACATAATATATACAACGTTTTGTCAGGCGTGATGCCATGTGGTCTGTACATTGTACTTCAGAGATTGTGTTTGCACTTGACGTACAGAAATAAAGACCAACGGCGAACCAGTGCGTCCACTGTCGTCATAAGTTGGAGATCAGGATCTCGATATGATCGCAAAAGTTTCACTGACTACTCAGTGCGACTTTTTTTTTTATTTCTTTGATGGGTGGACCTGGTGTTAAGTGGTCCCTGGAGCCCATAGACATCCACAACGTAGATGCGCCACCCACCTTGAGATATAAGCTCTAAGGTCTCAAGTATAGTTACAGCGGCTGCTCCAATCTTCAAACCGAAACGCATTACTGCTTCACGGCAGAAATAGGTAGACTTCCGAAGATTTCAACGGTAAATCGAAATGATCAATGTTGTTGTTTTTTTTACGAAGAATTTCAAAATGATGGCGCCGCGGTAATTACGCAATCCAAATTCGTAATTCGTTTACCTTACCGTCTGATCTCGGCAAGAAGCGGGTTAAAAGCATTTGGCCATAAATCTTAGGACCCAATTTATTTCTCCGTCGGTTACGTATGGGACACACCTTTTCTGGACGGATCTCCTTTATCAGCGTGTTTTAGTAACAAAGGACTATTCGATTCAAATTACATTCACTACCAATTTCGGAATAATAGTCGGGAAACGAAACATTTCTAATTGTTATTTAACCATTTGAAATATGGTACTTGAAATTTTAAATAACTTAATAGGATATACAGAATTTTTCAAAACAAACTGTCTATTATTTAAATAAACATAGCTTTATTTGTTATTGTTTTAAACGTTCGCCCGTAATTTACCCGACTGAGGCAATTATGGGTATTTCATCCTCAATAAGGGTTTCTGGTACAGTGATAACGCGAGTTATATTGTATATCTCGCAACATAGATATAATATAAAGTTAAATTGCAAATTTTGTTTTTACCAGGGATTTCTGGCTGTGTTATAACTCATATACAATATATGTATGTATTTCTGATAAGCCATTTGCAACACAAGTGTCTCTGAGTACTTAATGGGACGTTCCAGCCACATATTGTAACAATATTTTATTAATAAGGCCCTTATTTGTAACACAAAATTCAAACACTCTGAAACTATTGCTCAATATTTTAGTTTGTTTTGAAAGTATCCCATGGTTATTTTATAAAACAACACAGGAATACATGGTTTTAAAAACATACTTTAGATCCTTATGAATAACATAAATTCTCTAGAGAATCTTCTAAAAGTTGCAATAATACGCCAACTAATGTTTCAGCTTTTTGGAACAAGGTTAAAAGCATCGATAATTTTAAATCAGTAGGTACCTACAACGGTACCTGTATTTCATTCGAATAAAGCCTAATGGTGAGATCATCAGAATTCAATATGGGGTTAAGTTATTAAAAAAAAAAACTTCTACTCATAACGCTATCATAAAAAAAGATTATTTCAAAACCCGTGATCACTGTTTCAAATATAACGAGGAGTGTGGAATTAAAATTACCATCTACACCGTGATGAGGGGCAATAAACTCACTTAACTAATATCTGTGACGAATCCTAATGTTCCGGCCCCACTTCAGACAGAAAATGGTGAGAAACATCACGCTTCAACAATGATATAATATTTTTGGGCAATTCGTGTACGTGATAGTCATCATATTTTATATGGTGAATAAATTTTTAACGCTCGTAAACTACAAGGACCTAAATAGGAGAATTAAAAATAGAATTAACAACATATCCATGTCTGACTAAACTATTCTGGTCATTATTTGTATCCCAAATGCATAGTCGCGTTCCCGTTAATGTGGAAGCTTTAGAGTCTTGTTATGCAAATTAAGTCAACGACAAATTATTGAGGTCGGATATGAAATTGTAAATATTTACATAAAGACTGTTTAGAGCAAAACTATGTAAAATATACACGTGAACGCTCAATGTGGTTTCAAAATTTAACAAAAAAAGAGAGTTAGATTTTATATTCATTCTCCTAATAATGATAATCGGGAAGAAGTCACACAGACGTTCATCTGGCTACAAATTAGGATTCCCTCTACTATAGGAATCAGAAAATTATATACATACTTAAATAAGGTTCACTAAATACTACATATCAAATCAAATCAAATCAAAAAAAAAAATTCAACATAAATGAAGGTACATACTTTTTGAACGTCAAAAAGAACTACCCCCAATTCACAAAAAACTAGCCTCCGCCCTGAGAAGAACTGGCAAGAACCCCGGCGGGCATGTATTTTTTTTAAATATTAGTTTATAGATACATAAATAGATAGATATAATAAATATAGATATAATAAATAAAGATAGATATAAATAGATAATAATCATCCAGACGAAGAGAAAACAAACTATTCATTACACGAATATTTACCTGATATGAGAATCGAACGTACGATTTTCAGCACAAAGTCAAGAGCGCTAACCACTACACTACCGAGTCAGTAAGAATCTATTAAGAGTTTAAAAAGCTACTAGTCTCGTATGAAATTCACGAATTCCGATTAGCCACAGAGCTGTATCACCGAACCGATTACAATTAATATTACGGACATTAGTTTTTTGTACAGCACATAAAACTTAAAGGTGTTGTTAGACTCGTAGAGTAAAAACTAAATAAAAAACGAAAATACATTTCGAATGGCTAGCTTCGTAAAGAGTTCTTTGAATCTGCCGCATGATATTGCAGTAAATCTACTCATATTCAGATAAGCATCGAATACATACATGTTTACGAGAGTGACACGTTTTCAGTGTTGTTTTATTACTTTACGTCCGTTCGAACACAATAAAGCGGTCGTAATTTTTATGTTTCATTGAAATGTGTGCAGACGAAAATCAGACACGACTGATATAAATGTATGTATGCGGTTCTTCCGTAGTCTCTCTGTTAAAAATAAAAAACGTATAATATTATTGTAATTCTGTTTAAATTTTATTCCAGATATTCGATATATTTGGTAGGCAGCGGCTTGGTTTTGCCCCTGGCATTGCTGAAGTTCATGGGCGACGGTAACCACTCACCATCAGGTGCCTACAAGGGCAATAAAAAAACATCTTAATTTAAAATTATAAGTACTTGGCAGGTGAAATCTCGAAGAATGTTCCACATTCAGGCTAGGATTTTTATAGATAGGACGTTACCAATATGCACGAGCTGAATCGAAATACGAAAGCTGGATCTCTCAATTCAAACCCTTTAAACTAAAAACGTTTCTAACTTTAACGGGAAATTTGATTCTAACTTCGTGGCAACCAAATTTAATGAAACTATTGATCTATGTATTTATTGTCTTTATTGAATTTTAACACAAAAGTTTCCACAATTTGATAATTAGATTAGGATATTCTGAGTTTTGATGTTTGTCTCGAATTGAGTTTGAAGTCTCCAAAATTAAAAAAATAATAAACTGGAAACTCCAACGAAAGTAATGTGAAT